CTGAGTCAGAGGTCACTCAAAAGAGCATTGACTAGACTCTGGACCAAGATGGTGACATAAGAGGGTCCCGAACTTCCCTCTTCCCATTACACACCAAATGTACAAGCTATACATGAAGCAGTTATCTCTAAGAGAAATCCAGAAACTAGCTGAGGGATGGGAGTCACAGGGGGCAAAAAAGAAAACATGCATATTGAAATGAGTTAGAAAGGCTGACACAATCTCCTGCCATAAACCCCACCCCCAGCACAGCCACATACAATTGCGATGGAAGCCCAACTCCCAAATTCTCCCTGAGGAGAGGAGTCTGGACTGCACATCTAGTGCCCCAACACCAGCTGCCCCATCTGAGGGATTAACCCCCCCCCTCCACCTCTGAAAACCAAAGAGACATTCACAAGTCCCAGTGGACTGCAGCCAACAAGCACTCACTGAGGCTGTATCCACAGGGCTCGACACAGAGAAAACAGGTAAAAATCCATAACTCTCAGTGTCTCCCTGGAAGACTGCACACTTTACAAGCTGCTGCCTGAAGGTCTGACTTCCAATTAGCAAGCACCATGGCTGACTGCAATACTGGGGGAGCTGATGGGCACATCCTGTCTTCTCCCTACAGCTCACTGTAACAGTAATACCTAGTCGCCAGCATCCCCCTGGAAGTAGCTTGTTCACACATCTAAAGCCCCAACTTTTAGAGCTGCTTTAGGAGAGCATTACGTGTTCCACAGCAAATAAAGGAGCAGTTGCTAAAGTGCAAGCAAGCACTCCCAGTGGCTATTCCCCAAGGGCTCAGTGCAGAGGGAGCAGGCAAAACCCTTCTCCTGGTTTCTCCCTATAAGGGGCTTAACCACATTCTTGTAGATGGCCATCTTTCAACATCTTCACAAGGTCTGCCCTCTCTGTGCATCTGCATCCTTATCTCCTCTTCTTATAAAGATACTGGTCATGTTGTGGGGCGCCTGGGTGGCTCAGTCGGGTAAGCGTCCAACTTCGGCTCAGGTCATGATCTCTCGGTTTGTGGGTTCGAGCCCCTCGTTGGGCTCTGTGCTGACAGCTAGGAGCCTGGAGCCTGCTTCCGATTCTGTGTCTCCCTCTCTCTCTGTCCCTCCCCTGCTCATCCTCTGTCTCTCTCTCTCTCTCTCTCTCTCTCTCTCTCTCTGTCTCTCTCTCTCTCTCTGTCTCTGTCTCTGTGTGTCTCTCTTTGTCAAAAATAAATAAACATTAAAAAAATTAAAAAAAAAAAAGATACTGGTCATGTTGGATCAAGCCTATACCAATGACCTCTGTCTTTTGAAGTTTTCTTAAATTTAAATTCCAGTTAACATACAGTGTAATATTAGCTTCAGGTATACAATTTAGTGATGCAGCACTTACATACAACACCTGGTGCTCATCACAATTGCCCTCCTTAATCCCCATCACCTAGTTCATCTCCTTCTCCCCTCTGGTAACCATCAGTCTGTTCTCTATAGTTAAGCATCTGTTGGGGTGTCTGGATAGCTCAGTCAGTTAAGCATCTCACTTCAGCCCAGGTCATGATCTCACAGTTTGTGAGTTTGAGCCCCACATCAGGCTCTCTGCTGTCAGGACAGAGCTCACTTCAGATCTTCTGTCTCTTTCTCTCTGTCCCTTCCCCATTCATGCTCTGTCTAGTTCAAAAATAAATAAACACTTTTTTAAAAAGCCCGTTTCTTACTTTGTCTCTATCATTTTCCCCCTTTGCTCATTTGTTTTGTTTCTTAAAAACTACACATGAGTGAAATATGGTATTTGTCTCTTTCTGACTGACTCATTTTGTTTAGCATATTACTCTCTAGACCCATCCACATCATTGCAAATGTCAAGATTTCATTTCTTCTTCATCTCTGAGTAATATTCCTGTGTGTGTGTGTGTGTGTGTGTGTGTATGTACACAACATCTTCTTTATCCATTCATCAGTCAATGAACAGTTGGTTGCTTCCATAATTTGTCTATTGTACCCAATGATCTCCTTTAATCTTAATTACCTCTTTAAACACCCCATCTCCAAAATATTGTCACATTCTGAGACACCAGGGTTTAGGACTTCAACATATGAATTTGGGAAGGAACACGTTTTAGTGAGTAACAGCATCTGAAGCCCTCTTCCACATTGCTACTACCAGAGTTCTAGTTGAAAGCCTGTCTCGTGATGTATAACCTGGAATTTCAACCCCAGTCTAATCTGCCTCCCTTATATCTTCCATACTACCCTCATTCTTGCTTTAATTCCCTACCAGGATTTTAAAACAGGATAAAATAGAGCCCTCAGAATGAGATATTTATTGCTGCACATAGTGTAACTCTGAAGAAAGAGTCTACATATGTTTACGAGCAGGTCAAATCCTGGATAAAATAACAATAAAAATAACGGCTTAATAATGGGCTACTTACTATGTGTCAGACATTAAGTGTTTTACAAACATCATTTGATTTAATCATCATCACAACACCATGAATTAAATATTATTACCCTTATTTTACATATGGATAACCCAACACTTAGAAGAATTAGGTAACTAGCAAATGTAAGCCACTATGAAGTGATGGAGTTCATTTACAAACTCCAAAATATAACTGATATTAGGATTCACTGCCTCCCATCTCCCACTTTTTTCAAGGCCACATTCCCTTCAAGTCTATGTTATTCTCATTCTTTTCCTCTCTCTCATTCAGGACTCAAGAGTTTAATCAATTCACCTTGCAGTGTTGAGTAATTTTGTACCGTTTCCAAGAGTCTTTGAATTTACAAGAAGACAGCTAAAAGAAACAATGATTAATCAATAACAGTGGTATTCAAAGTGTGGGCTAGGAACCCATGAGAGTCCCTTAGATCTTTTAAAGTGACCTATGAGGTCAAGATTTATTTTATAACATATCTAAGATATTCATTGATTTTTTTACTGTCATTATTTTACAAGTATATAGTGGACTTTTCCAGAAGCTACATGATAGTTACTATCTCAACAAATGAATGCAGAAGCAGATAAGAAAATCTAGCTGTCTTCTATGAAGCTAGGCATTAATAAGATTTGCAAAAATGAGGCAGAAGAGGAGGAATGCCATTCTTCTCAGAGTTTTTTTTTTATTTTGGAAAATGGAATTCTTTTTCATGGAAATATTATTTATGTTAACATACGATGGTCTTATATTTTAAATTTGTTCTAAATTTTAATACAGCAATATCAATAAATTTAACTCACAAAAACAAGAACTTTCCAGGGTGCCCAGTCATTTTTAAAAGTATGACAATGTCCTGAGACAAAAAAAGTTTGAGAATCACTGAACTACACACATCATTCAGTAATGATGAAGTCCCTGTTAGTGGCTCTAGGTCAGTAAAGAAAACATTTTGGAGGAGGTGACATTTCTAGCAGCTTAAGTCTTTTCCACAACAGGAACACCTGCTCAAGCTAAGTTTGTTTTCAAGTTCTCATCACTCTTTCAAGATCTTAAAAAAAAAAGTGTAGTCTACTGAAATTATACCCAACCCTGATGTTCAGGGGCTAAAAACTCATTTGTTTTTAAATCTAACATTTTTAGGGTACCTACCTGAATCAAATTTTTAATACAATCAATATTTGGCAGCACTAGGACATAAACCTAATTTTTCTTATTCCAACTCAAGTGCTCTTTCCCCTACATTGCCACGAAATAATGTTTTAAAGCTATCAATTTAAGCACACTCAGGAAGGAACATCACACCCATTGTGCCAGTGTATTCTCTATCTTTTCACAAACACACACACACACACACACACACACACACACACACACACACACCACACTTCCCTACTAATAGAAACGGACAGAAATTTTTATTTTCTGAAATAAAAAGAAAAATCACTGTTTTGACCTCTGCATTCTCGTAGCAAAATAGTCAATTAAAACAATGACAAAAAGTTTCTTGTTTCATTTCCACTGATAATAGCATTATTGAACTACTGAGCCATTACCTTGCACTCACTGTTCTTGGTGTTTTTCATTCAGTGTCTCAATCTTTACAATAACCTGCAAGTTAAGTATTATAATCCCCATTTTACAAATGAGCAGATGCTTTGATAGAGTAAATAACTTGGCACAGATCACATGGCTATTCCACTGCAGAGCTGGGATTCATACCCTAGTTTCTCTATGTATAATGCCTATTCTCCTTCATAATTTTTCTTATTAATAATTCTCTACATGATACATGGATAGAATTACTTGCAGGCTGTTACATGATTTGATAGCCCAAAGTAAGGATGGTGGCTGGAGATTGTGCACAAAGACATGGAGAAAATCAAGTTTTCTTCCTAGCAGACTTTTTCTTTTAAGACGGTTTTAGTTCCTACTGTGTTATGGTTCCTCAAAAGTTTAAACAATAGGTCGAAGCAAACGAAATTATTGGTAGCGGTATTCATTCACCCAGCTATTCTGAGTTCAGTGAAAAATAATAAATTGACTCTCCTTTTTTAATGTTAACTGAAGCACTAGAGAGACCTCATGCAATTTAGAGAGTATGGAAAGAAATATGGACAGTGGCAAGTACGGTTAATTGAACATTTTATAGAACATTGAGAGAGTTCAGGGAAAGTGCGTTTCCCATTTTTTATCTTCCCATGTTTAATGAAAATCCACCTATTATGACTGCATAGAAAAAGAAGAAATAAAAGAGAATTATCATTTTTATTTCTACTTAGTAGCTCATCCAAGCATTTGAGTTTGTTGGGGCTAGAGGCAAAACATGTGGAGAGTCAGCTGAAAGACAGGAGAGAAAGCAAAGACAGCTGCCTTCAATCTCCCTCACACAAACTAAAACCTTCCTTTGCCTGGCTTCCCAGTTTAGCCTTTAAAGTATATTTTGAAATAGGCAAAGATTTCCCTTCAGTTCCCAGGACTCCTGTTTAATGCTTTATTTCTCTTCTGTCTTTCCAGTTAGGTGCCCCACTCCATTCTCCCTAGAGTATGTACTCTATGCCCAAATGAACTAAAAATGTACCTGATCAGCTCCGGTGGAATACGGTGTCGGATGGCACTTACATTTCATTGACGATAAAAATCGATAGGTTAGAATGAAGCCCTAGGATAAAATTTCAGAGAAGGTGATTATTAATTAGCAGCTGGGTTTTTTGAAAAGCAAGTACAGTCACAGTTACTACCTTTTTAACCTAATCATTACATCTTCAAATCAAATTTTCAGTAGCAAATTGTGTATAAATCTTATCAGTGATTTCATTTTATGCATATTCACTTTCTGATAATTAGGTAACTCTTCCATGAAACATTTTAGAGGACATTTTATTTAATTTTGTGTAGCTTATACATATTAGACCTTAAATGCATATTAGTAAGGAAAAAGAAAAATAGAGGAAGAATCCAAGGGAGGAAGAGAGAAACACTGAACTTTTAACAAGAAAAAACACTTTCAAGGGATTTCACCATTAAAGAATACTGAGATCCACCACCCTTCACCTCAGGAACCCTAGGTCCTAAAAAGAATAACAAAAGTAAAAACCTGATAGGCAGAACTCCTATTGGCCAGAATACTTTTCTGAATGTCAGACCACAATGCAGGGGCATACGGATAGAATCTTGGAAAAAGCATATTTTATTGATAGAACTCTGCTCACCAACACGCACGAAATGTTGAATATAAAAGGAATCTCAGGAGCATCCTGTCCAATCCTCAAACTTACCACTCAAGGAAGAAAGGAAGGGAGGGGTGGGGGGGGGGGAGGCAGGAAGGGTACTGATGTTCACAATGATAAGGACTTGTTCAAGAACAGATAGCTAGGGTAACACTGAAACAACTCTATAGTCTCCATTTTATTCTCAGTCCAGAATTTTTTTCCCCATAGCTTCACTAGGATTTACTCTGCTTCAGTGATTTGGGCTTAAGCCCACTCATTTTCTAGATACACTCTCTGGAGAAGTTTGGCTGTCCTCACATCCATATGTTCTCTTACTACCTTCCCCCCCGCCCTTTTCTTAAGTTTATTTACTTGAGAGAGAGAGAGGCAGAAGAGAGGGAGAGAGAGAATCCCAAACAGGCTCTGCAATGTCAGCATGGAGCTGACCACAGGGCTCGAACTCCGAACCATGAGATCATGAACAGAGCTGAAATAAAGAGTGGAACACTTAACCAACTGAGCCACCCAAGGACCCCTACCTTTTTTTTTTTCTTAACCAAACAAGGCATCCACATCTCTATGATATTTGATTTCCAAGAAGAAATAAAAATGTCAACACCACATGTCCTGGCCATTCTGCTTCTTCTCAGCTCCATTCTCGGCCCTTTTATTGCTCTGTTCTGCATACCGAGGTAACTAATCCCCTAAATCACCTAGACACCCTTGCCAACTGACTTCTACCTGGGTTTGGCTAATGGAAGGAAAAAGTAAAAGATTAGAGAATGAGAGGAACACAGAAACAATGTTGTTTCCACAAAGTCCTCCTGCCCACAGCCCAGAGTGGCATCTATAACTACCTCTCCCAACGGCTCCAGCTCACTCAGAACAGCCCATCTCTTCTTAGACACAGAATAGTCCTCACCACAGATCTGGCTCCTACCTAATACAGGGGTTTAAGAGCTCTGGTAACACATCTGTATAGAATGATTTCACAAAGTTGGAATAACTCTGACTTTGCCTTAATATCTTATACAATTTGGCAGTAGCTCAATATACCTAGTGTTTGACAAATTACAAGCCAGACAACTGCAGACATGTATGTGCCAACTTTAAGATGATATGTGTAGATCAAGACTATTCAGTAAGCTCGATTACCAATTGATTTGTCTTACAAAATAATTCCATATTATTCCTTCAAATATCAAGCATCCCTAGCATATTTAAAACATGATTTACCAAAACTTGTATTATGCTAGCAAACATTTCTTACCATGAGAAAAAATATCAACATTTGACATGTCATGTTTTAATTTATTAGGCTCCAGTTTTCTTGAGTTTGGAATGCCAAAATCTATAATGGAGGCTCTCCTACTGAAAGCATTATTCAGGTTAATATAGAATAAATAGCAAATATTTGGGTTATATTCTGTGGAGCATTTGCCTCGTAAGTTTTCTTTCTCTTTTTTTTTAAGCTTATTTATTTATTTTGAGAGAGACAGAGAGAGAGAGAGAGACAGAGAGAGAGAGAGAATGAGTGGGGGAGGGGAAGAAAAAGAGGGAGAGAGAGAATCCTAAGCAGGCTCTATGCTGCCAGTACAGAGACCGATGTGGCTCGAACTCATGAACAGTGAAATCATGACTGAGCCAAAATCAAGAGTTAGACGCTTAACCAATTGAGCCACCCAGGTGCCCCTGCCTCGTTGATGTTCTTTTAAAATACTTACGTCAAGGACATTTAAAGAAGGAGGTATTCTAAAATAGTCAGAAGTGTGGAGAACAAAGATAGGACCTACAGATAGATTTAGGGCACCCCATTAGGTGTTTTCCTTTGCATCAATATAGCAGTCATAGGAAGCTATAGCTGAAAGTATTTGCCTTCTCATTATAATAAATGAAAAGTGTTTGACAAACTACACTCAACACTTCAGTCAAATCTGATAAATGTGCACTAATTTATTGACAGTGGTAGAGGAAAATAAAGGGAGAAGTATAAGGAACTTCGTCACCTCATTGTTACCTCTGTGTTGGCTCTGCTGAAAAAGCAGGGGGCGTCCTGTTGAGGGAACTACATCCATAAACACCTGGCAACAAACAGCCCAAGGCAGTTCTAGGAAGGACTCTAGAGAAGTAGCTTCCACAGGAATGACTTTCTGAAGCGAAGACGAAACAAAACCCCTACTTCCCAATAAATACTAAAGCAAAGTGACCTGTGGAAGTTTGGGAGTAAGGGAGGAGGGATTGGCGGAGGAGGCCGGAAATTAAATGACATAAGGTTTTGTCATATCTGTGCAAAAACATCAGAATTCTATTTGTCCATACAAGACAATCCATGTTTTTCCATGAAAACACATTAACAGTAAAATATTTACAAGGGTAATGAATGATTATAAATTTTGGTAAATTTCTCTTAGGAGAAAATCAAAGGTACCAATTAATATTTAAGGTACATTCAAAAGTGAAAGAGGGGCACCTTGGTGGCTCAGTCAGTTAAGCATCTGACTTCAGCTCTGGTCATGACCCCACGGCTTGTGGGTTCAAGCCCCGCATAGGACTCTGTGCTGACAGCTTCAGATTCTGTGTCTCCCTCTCTTTCTGTCTTTCCTCCATGCCTGCTGTCTCTCTCTTAAAAATAAAATAAAGATTTTTTTTTTTTTTAAATGAAAGGAGGGCACCTGGGTGGTTCAGTCAGTTAAGCGTCTGACTCCTGATTTAGGCTCAGGTCATGATCTCACGGTCCGTGGCTTCAAGCCCCGCATCGAGTTTGCACTGACAGTGTGGAGCCTGCTTGGGATTCTCACTCTCCCTTTCTCTCTGTCCCTCCCCTGTGCTCACTCTCCCTTTCTCTCTCTCTCAAAAAATAAACTAAAATAAATAAATAAATAAAAAATAAAAGAAGAGGAGACATAGCTTGGAGAAACATTATTGTAATGCCACTGGTTCACTAGGGGTGATTAGGTATATTTGTGGATACATGTTGCAGTGTATGCTATTTTCTCTTTTTTTTCAATGCGGCTGTCACCTTATCAACTACAGAGTTTGTAAAGGTTTGAATTCACATACACACCTATATGCACACACACTCATTGGTTTGTATAATTCAGTTTAATTTTCTGATGAAACTGACCTAGATAAAAATGCGATTTACAAAATACAAGATATAATTTTATTTTTTATTGCCTTCACTTCCCTGTTGACACTTAAGTTCTAAAACTCTGATTTTGGATATTTCTGTGTTACTTTTTCATTTACATTTCAAACGTTAACAACTTTGTTAATTATTTGCAAATAGAAAGATGCAACACTAGAAATAGTAATCAGAGGGCAAGTCTGGAACTTGGAGATAATCATGATAATGAGAGAAATGAAATAATTCTCTAGTTTTATCCCTGTAGCTCCATCAAATGAACTCAATAGCAAAGGAGATGATAGTCCTCACCCTACCACAATTTGTAAATTTGAGTTGGTGAATTTAAATCCAGTAAGACATCTTTACATGCTTGTTTATCACATTGGTTTTTGTTACCAGGGAAAATCCAATGAGTCTAAACCCTGTATCTTTTACATGAAAGCTCTGCACCATAAGTGCAGTGGGCCATCTCACAACATCTACAATCCAACATGAAGGAAAATTTGCAATCAAATCACCAGAATGCTTTGCCAAGAGCTAAGCAGGGGAGGGGTTTGGAATAACATAAATGGAAATTACAATCAAGTGAGTAAATTAAAATTGCTTAAAGTTTCCTTCAAAGTCAACTTCAAAGTTATCTTGGAGAGTAAAACTCATATAGTAAGAGAAAGTGGGTAAAGATCTCAGATGAGAAACAGCCAATCTGATACCTTATCACATGTTCCAGGTCTGTTTATATGCTTACTACATAAAAGAAACAATGTGTTAGGCAAGAATACAGAATGATTATATATATATATATATATATATATATATATATATATATACACACACACACATGTATATATATATATGTATGTATATGTATATATATGTATATATGTATACATATATCAGAACTCTGCACTGATTATATACATATACATATACATATACATATACATATACATATACATATA